ATTTTTATAAATTTATTTTTTAATATTTTATATTATTTTTTAAAAGGCTATGCAATTAAAACATTTGATTTTTATTATATTATCATGATTTGAAGAAACTTATGTAATTTTAATAGATTAATGATATCTCAACAATATAATAATTTATCAATTACGCTATTATATTGACGATATATGTGTAGTCATTTAATATAATGGTTAAACTATTACTGATATTTAGTTTATAAATGTCATAGATGCTCTTTGAAATTATTTAATTACAATGAATGTAACGTTAACAGGTTATATAATTTTTAACATCATGTTTATTTTTATTTATTACAAAGAAAACTTAATACATATATTAATTTGTTTATCTAATCAGTTAATTAAACTGTTTCTAGTTTATTTTTGAGAGTTTCTATTTTCTTTAAGGGAACTACTAAGCTAATACTGTATAATTTTAGATATAGGCCTATTATTAATACCTCTCTTCATTACAACTGTATGCCAGTTCAATTGTTTTTAACTTTATATTTTAAAAAATATAAAGTAGCAGAATTTTTAAATCCTGAAATCAATTCTAATTTATATACATGTTTATTAGGAGAAAAACAAAAAAATATTTATTAAAATAAAAATTATTAACTGTTTCTAAAAATTCATTTTTTTAAAATCAATATTAAGATGTAAGCACTTATTTCTTTTATAATATATCTATTTAATTTTAAAATGTATTTATAAGTTTCTTTTTATTTAAATTTACATAGTGATAACATAAATATATTAAGAGTTTATTTATTCATTTATATGAAAGGTAGAGACTACAAACTTATTTTTTTATTTTTCTGTGATATATTTAAAAATTTATTATCTATTTTTTTCAGGTGAAACAATTAAGACTTTCATCATAACTTTTTAATTTCTAAATATATAACAGAGTAAAGTGAATTAAATTATTATCACATCAAAACTATTTTCACAAAATTCTCATTTTTAAAAAGTAAACACTATCAAGGATATGATAAACTTTTAATTTTATGAAACTTAGAGTGCAATTATTTTATCTCTATCAAAAAAGAATATTTTGTTACCCGAAAACAAACGTCGTCATTCGCAAAGAAATGATTTTTTAATACATTTTCATTCTTTTTTTTCATTTCTTTTTTCTTATTAAACAAGAGTTAACAAATATACTACAGAGCTCCGGGAGGAGAGGTGAAAAAAAAGACATTAAAATCAATGTGTAAAAGCATATTAATGGTGCATTTTAGGCGATAAAGTCAAAAAAACACAACAATTAAGACCAGTAAATGTGAAAAAAAGAGTTATTTTTTAAGTATTATTGATGAATGTTGACTTCATAGCTTATTGCATCGGCACATGAAACTAAACACAAGCGATTAGGACAAAAATGATTATTTAATAGGCGTTCTAAGTGCAATATTTTAAGTAAAAACTGCGTTAAATAACAATTTTATATGGTAAAAATTAAAAATTTTTATTTTATATATATAAAAAAAGAAGTTTAATTTGCAAAGGTAATTCAAAAGTTACTGTAAAACTAGACGTAATTAAGCAATTATTTGTAATTTAACACGATAATATTGCTCTTAGAAAATCTGAACGCTATATTTTATATAAAAGTTGCGTTCAATAATTTATTTCAAAACAAAAAAAACAAAAAATTAACTTGCGAACATAAGAAGTTAGGTCATTCATTTTGTCTAAATAGTGTGAACTTTTACGTCAAATTGACGTCATTACTACACGTTTTCGTAAGAAAACCGTAATAATGACGTCAAATTGACGTAACGGAATACAGTATTCAGGCAAATCGAACGCACTTCGAGTTCGATAACTATAAATGAACTAAGCCTAATTATCACTTAATAACTAGGCTTAATTGAACGTTCATTCCCATTATCGTCTGCCGATTATAGATTATTTTCTTGTAAAATTTCGTTCGATTTATCTATTAAAAAGATTAAATCTAATTATATACAGAAATAAATTACCTTAAAAGATCTCTCATACACATAAATAATTCAATTTAGCTCGAGTTTTTTATTGTATATACAAAAAAAAAGGTTAAAATTTCCGTTACTTTAAAGAATGTAAATCCAGCGATTAATGGCGCCCTCTCGTTCGTCTGCTTTCTTTTTTTTAAGCGTTATTTTTTTTTATTTTTTTATTTTTGGACGATTTC